GGGGGGGGGGGTGGACTATCATCATGTGCCCGTGGGCTGATCTGCTGCCATGGCGTGTGTGGCGGGCGGGAGAGTGAGTCAGGTGTGGGAGATCTTTGGCGGTGACTCAACCTCGGAATCTTGGGCCGATGCTCAAACGGCTTCATCTTGATGGGACTCTGTCGGTGCTTCCTTTCTTTCTATGAATACATGTTTTGCCCTATTTTTTGTCAATCACGCAAAGTTTCCGATCGATCCTCAGAAGACAGTCTGCGAATACAAAATCCGCGAGGACCGGCATTCCTCTTGTCATTGAAGCCACAGCAACAGCAGCAGCAGTAGAAGAAGCGTGCATGAAGAAGCAGACATTCACGTATCAGACCACCACCACCACCCCACGACTTCACATGTCAATACATTGACACACCACTACGAAACGCAACCACCAAACCGTTCTCCATCTCACACTCAACTTGCGCCCGTCTCCCATTTCTCAAGGCACTTTTTTTCAAAGGCACTCTTTTTCAAGGGCACTCTTTTCCAACCAATACCACACACATTGAAGCTCTTCTCCGTCTTCAGCAGACCACACATTTCACAATGAAGGCCATCCGCACCCTGACCTCGCCCAAATCCTCCCCACGCCTCCCCGCGACAGCGACGATCCCCGCATCCCGCCGCTCGTTCCACAACACGCCGCAGGAATCCTCCTCCTCGCAGCTCTCCACGCACCAACACCCCTACCACCAGCGCCCCAAGCACGACACGGGCAAGATGTCCTACAGCTCCAGCTCCAGCTCCAGCTCCAGCTCGTCGTCAAGAACGGCCGACGGCATCGTCTTCGACGAGGACGTCATTGAAGAGCTGAGACCCATCTTCGCCGAGCGCGCGAGAGCAGGCGAGAGCAGGACGGGCAAGGGGCAGCAGATGCGAGGCATGGGCACCGGGCAGGGTGCCGAGTGGGTTTGGTGATTGCCGCTTCAGCCTGTCTGTCCCCTTCCTGCCCCTTTGTCTCAGGGGTCGTGTGCAGCACTCTTTTATTTTTGTTTTCTCTTTTTGTTCTCATTGCTATGGGTTTCCAATGTGAGCGACGGGCTGGACTTCGTCAGGCGTTCAAAACAAGGGCGTGGCGGGGGTGGGCGTTTTATTCATGTCGCTTGCCGACGAGGCTGGCGGCTTTTTACGATCAGGGAAAGGACGCAAAATGTCGCCGATGCAATTGGCTTTGGGGAGAGGATAGCAAGCACGCTGCCTAGGACAGGCGGCCGCGTGCGTACATGTATACCAGGTTCTGAGGAACCAGTGCATCAATACAAAAGTTGATTTGCAGAATTCAAGTGGTGGTGCTTGTGACTCGATGACTGGGGAGTCTCTTCAACGACGACTGAGGCCGATATCAGGTGCGGCTTGGGGGCCAAGAAAGCAAGTGCCCTGAACGATTGCTGCGGAGGGCCAAACCGCACAGGCGCATCGAAGGCTCGACGAGCGGCAATCAAGCAAGGCACGACAAACATGAATTCTGACACATGCCGCTGTTGCTCTTTCCTCTTGTCAGCCTTTCTTGTCGTGCAGGGTGATTCGATCCGAGGCCCCTATCTACTGTCTCCGTTGACCAGCCGGGCCAGCGGCATGCGCCATCCGCGATGCAAACAAGGCGATTGTGCTCAATCGATCCTGCACAGGCGGAAAATAATAGCTCTTTTCCACAAACGGGGTCGTACGGCAGGTCGATAAGGCCCAGGCCGTAGGGTGCGATGCCGCGACCCGGTGGGTGGTGGCGACCGTTGGACATCACACGCATCGTCAGGTCGAGTCCAGACGCTGGGGAGAGGCGAGCGGCGGGAAACAAGGGTGGTGGGGGCCGCATCGAGTCCACGCCGGGGGGGCGCACCGACATGGACCCCCGAGACGCGTTTTGGCCCCGACAAGGAAGAGAGCTGCAGGCGCGGATGGAGGCGTCTGGCCGATGTTGTTTGTCACAGTGTGCGATGGCGGACGTGCGAGGCGTGGATTCTCAGTACTGTGTTGTGTAAGTCGGGTTGGCGCCCGATTCGGGGAATCCCATGAGGATTGACGATGGCTAGAGGCGCACTCTGCGACGTGCCTCGAGTTCGACTACGAGTGCTTACTCCATTTTGGGGGGGGGATCAAACGAGACATGTCATGTCGTGAGCGCGGCATCATGAACAGACATGCAGTCAATGGCTGTGCTACCTAAACATGGATAGGTCCATGGGGTTCCTCCCAGAACCAGATAGGGAGGGCCTCGACTGCCATTCCTGCAGACGAAAATGGTCTGCGTATCAATTAATGCACAGACAAACATATCCTCGTTCCCCGTAAAACCACCGCAGGAAGGGGAATAGCATCCGGAACGCCGTCCTGACCCGCTGGTCACAGCTCGTGTTTGACGCCTTGAGCAAAAGGAAATAAGAAAAAAAAAAACCCCCCGCAAAGCAAAAGAGAACCTGTCGTCCATCCGTCCGTCTGCCCGCCTGTGCAAGCGCTCACTCGGCCATCCTCTCCAATTCCTATATCGCGGCTAAACAGGCCACCTCATCGCGCCTTTCAGCCGCGCAAGAAAAGAAACTCTCAACGCGTGTGTCGATGTCGACGGAAGCTGGTGGTCGGGGGTTTGCTAAGCGGCGAAGAGCCGAGTCGCAGCAGAGACCGACATGGAAGAGCAGCATATAAACTACCTCCATTGTTGATCATACGCTGGACTAGAGGGGTGGCTGCTCATAGCCGGAGGGGTGGAGCACCATGGCCAGGTCGTGGTCAGCCTGGTCATCGCGCGGAGACGATGCATCAACATAGCCACCGCGGCCGTCGTCCTACATGACACCGCCCTGAAGCAGTCGTGCATCGACGTCGTTCATGTCGGGAAGGTCCATGCCGCCGCTTCGAGCCTCAATGTTCTGCAGGCGGCCCTCCATGTTTTGAAAGCGGGGCTCGTAGGAGCCGATGCGGTTCTCGAGGTTCTCGAGGCGCTTGTTCATGTTGTCGAGAGCCTGTTCGATACGCATGAAGCTACCGCTCATATCGTGCGACAGGCGATCAATCTTGTTCGTGAAGCTGCGCATGCTCTGAGCGAGGGGCGTGTTCTCCTGGCCGGGCAGGGCGGTCGCGACGCGGGGCTCGTGGTTGTGTCGCGACTCCTGGACGGCGAAGCGCCACTGGTTGCCGAGCTGGACCTCGCAGACGGCCTTGGCGCGCCAGGGGCAGTCGACCTTGCGCGTCGAGGGGTTGCGCTTCTTGGCGGTGCTGTTGTACTTGACGCCGCCGCGGTCGCAGACGAGGTCGTAACGAGTGGGCTTGCCGTCGCGGTAGTTGGAAGCGCGCAGCTTAACGACGCCGTAGCCTTGATCCTTGGCTACGCGCTGGACCGACGAGAGGAGGTCGTCAAAGCTGCGAAAGATGCCCTCGGGCGGCGGCAGCAGGGCCGGCGGCGGCGAGTTCGGCATCGCGACCACGGAGGAATCCACTTTGGCGGTATTGAGGGGGTTATTCGGGGGAGACGGGTATTGGGGTGTCAAAGGACGAGACAAGGTCGGACAAAAGGCCGAGGGCAGCTGCAGTCAAATACTTTGCTGCAGAGGTACAGTTAGCGACGCGTGCACATCAGGACGACGCGGGCATGCGCCTTACCTTAGACTCTGGACGCTCGTGAGGACAGTGGGCAGTGGGGAGTGGACAGTAGACAGTGGTAGGAGGGACGAGGTTGGAGTCGGAGTTTTCCAATCCGCACGGCCTGAACTAGATTGTCAGTTGATCCGGCCACCAACACTACCGCGGGCACTGACGCCACGCCACGATCCTGGCAGCAGCTGGCCGCTAAAGCCTTGGCTCCGTGTACGTACCTGGTATGCCCGGTTCTGATAAGCTCCGTCCTGTTTGCTTCTTGTCTGTATGGGACGCCGCAGTGATTGTCGATAAACATTCGAGTAATGTCCTCAGAGTTGCCAAGGTATGCTGTTGCCTGTCGATACCTGATATTGGCTTTGACAGTTGGTGCAGGTACGTGAAAGAGAAGCAACCAGGTGGGTGAATACAGGAATAGTGCTGTGTGGCTGATGGCGCTCGGGCCATGTCTTTGGGAGCGGCGCCATGATGCACGTGATCTGCAGTTGCCCGCCAATTCCCAGGCATTCACCCTTGAATACAACCGCCCACCCCCACTACTCCAACCTGGGGGATGAAGCCGATTTGCGCTTTGTCTGGGTAAGCGTCTCTTGGAGAAGGGTGTTTCGGGTTGACTTTCGTTGGTCCATTCCCCCAAGGGTGACCACCACGAACGATTCCTCACCGGCCAAACCTCTGTCTACTCGAGCTCCCCTCCATTTGCCTAGTTTGCCTTTCTTGCTCCTCTGTGAGCCAGCTGGCACGGGCTCTTGCGTCTTCAGACCCCAAACGACTCGACCGAGACGAGCGAACGAACCGGAACCGAGGGCCACCAGTGTCCCTCCTATAGCAATCATCGAGTGGCTCTTGGTTGCAGCCCTGATCCCTTGAACAAACTTAAACACAGCAAGCTGCTGCTTAGGTTCTTCGTGACGAACATAGGTTCGTGTCGGCCATTGGTTCATCGTGGGGGGCGAACTCGGACACATCACACATCCAATCCACCTTTTGCCCGACTGGTCGTTTCGTGCTCAGTTGCAACCAAAGCAACCAAGACGCCACCACGAGATACCAGAGCTGCCAAGTGACAGTAGCTCTTCTTCAGCTGGACGTGCTGCGCGCCCTACATCACATCTTGGACAATTCGAAGCTGTACAACCAAACCATGGCCAACCCACCTGCTGCCGGCGACAAGCCTGGTGGTAGCCCCAAACAAGCAGAGTGGGACGAGAAGGAGCTGCAAGACTCTCTCGAGCACCTCAAACTCTTGCACATCAAGGTATGGGACGGTCCATTGCATGGCGGCAGGACACGTTGCTGACGTGAAGTAGCTCCGGGAGCTCAGGACAACCATCCCTCGAATGCTGGAGCCACTGAAAGAGAAGCAGCAGAGTCGTATGTCCTCCACACTTACATGTTTCCTCAGCATCGCATATACTGACCTTTCGTAGCTGAGGCCCTATTCACTTCGTTTTCCAACGCCGTCACAACGGGCCATCGTGAGGTCCAAGATTTTACCGAAATGCGAAAAGATGCCAAAACGACGAGAATACTTGATCATGCGGCACAGAGGCGAAAAGAGGAACCAAAGGGGATCAAGCCTTGGAATGGGAAGCAGGACCCAGACTGGATGACGCCTCCTGGCTCGTCTTAAAGGCGTGTTTCTGCTTGTTATTTTGCTCCTGAGACTCTGGGGGCCTCCGGTGGACAAGGGCCCGGAGCATTAATCGGATAGGCGCATGAAGGGTTGGGTGGCCAGTATTTTGGCCTTTTATGGGATATATCATGGGGGAGTTCAGGTGTGGTGGACACAGCATCATTAGATACCATGTACCTTTGAATTCACGGGCCTCGTTTGTCTTCAGCCTGCATTGCTGTTGCTGTTTAATTTGTCACGCCTTGGTTCTCGGGCGACAGGAGTCATGTAGAAAGAGCTAACCATGCATCACAACCCTTTGAAGCACAATGCTCTCCCAGGACTGCCCGAACCCTGAATTCTCGTCAGGAACAGCACCGCGAAGCGTGATGAAGTGCTTTAATCTAGCCACAGGAATAAAAAGACAGACCCAAAATGCTGGAGCTTGCCAGACAAAATACGAAAACTAACATTGTCCGCGCCAGCTAACGCCATCTGCACAACTGGTTGACTCTCGACGAAATGCATAGTGGGTTTGCTGTTGTGAGTGGGTCCCGCCACGACGAGGGGCTGGCTGCTGCGTCGGCTGATCCCCGGGCAAACAAATGTCGAGGCGCACCAGATCAGTAAGCCCCACCAGCCCTCTCTGATTGGCATCCTAAGCGGGCTTGTTCTTCCCACACGAATTTTCCACATACTCTCGAAAATTGTCCCGCCTTCGACCGATCTTGCGAACCTTCAACCAACCCCTAACGACAACAGCAGACAAAATGGCGGGCCAGCGTGTTACCTATCGCCGTCGCAACCCGTGAGTCTCTCCCGTGGGACTATGAGCATTCACTCGACGATGCTCGCGCCCTCGACGTCGTTCGAACGCTTCGTACAAGAAGAGAGGAAGAATAATAGGCGACTGACGCGGAGTTTGCAGCTACAACACTCGGTCCAACCGGACTCGAATCATCAAGACCCCTGGTGGCGCCCACCGTGTCTTGCACGTCAAGAAGCGCGGCACTGCCCCCAAGTGCGGCGACTGCGGCACCAAGCTGCCTGGCGTAAGTTCATCCCACGACTCCAGTACGAGGGGAGGGACGAGGACGATCACGCACCGAGGGACCTGATTGATGGACGGGATGGGGAGGAAGATGAACACGACTGGGACGACTCGCCGACAGACACGAACGCCTCACTACATCATCGGTCAATCCCTCGCCTGCTCGTCGACAACAAGATGGTTTTCGCAGAGGACAGAAGGACTGAACAAAGAGCCTTCCGCTAACCACCCACAATAGATCCCCGCCCTCCGCCCCCGCGAGTACTCCCAGATCTCCAAGCCCCAGAAGACCGTCCAGCGCGCCTACGGTGGCTCGCGATGCGGTAACTGCGTCAGGGACCGCGTCGTCCGCGCCTTCCTGATCGAGGAGCAGAAGATCGTCAAGAAGGTCCTGAAGGAGGCTGGCCAGAGCGAGAAGAAGAAATAAGCAACTCAAATCACTTTTTTCTCCTCTTCCACACGTAAAAAATTTCTGCGTCTCTCTTCGGTCCGGAAATCATTTCGACCCAACGCTCGGCACACGGAATGGCACGGGGGGTTGGTTCATTGCGCTTTGGTGTTCAATAGGGCAAAAGGAACTGCATGATGCGGCGAGGGATGCGCACGCCGGCCGGCAGAGGGCTGGTCGGTCTCCTGCACTCCAGGCAGGATTGATACCGCAATGATACGGATTTACGATCCGACTGTATGACGGCTGTGATGTGATGTGTGATGCTTTGAATCATGACAGCCGAATTTTGTAAGCAACTTTTAAACGTCAATGTGAACTTGAGACTCGTCGGAATACATGTCGAGACCAGGGTGGTGGTGCATCCACAGTGCTCAGGTGCAGCGACGTTTACAGGGACCTGGGGTAATCATGACGTTGGAGACTGAAATCGCCGAACCTCTGAGACTCAACTTTTTCTGCCACACCACTCCCACCCTCAAGACAGCACAACTCTCGCCGCGACACTGGAGCACTTTTCTCTCCCTCGCTCGTGCTCCCCTCAATTTAAGGCCTTCGACAGCATGAACAGACCCAACCCAATGCGCATCTTGCGCGCCCTACCGCGCGCTCGTCCATCTGTGCCCGTCCCCAGAACAGCCCGTACGACAGCAGCACCCGCCTTCCACACCCTACGCCCTCTCCAGCAGTCCTCAAAGACCAAACAAGAAAAGCCGCCCGCGATCGTCGAGAAGACAAAGCCCACCGATCTGGCCGACTTTGATGTTTTGGGCTCGACACCAATCCCTTCGACCAACATCGAGGCGACTCTTCCGCGCGGCTTCCTCCTCAACAGCGGCCTCTCCATCTTCGACGGCGCAGGCGCGCTGCTCGTCAACGGCGAGGCGTTTGCCTGGCGGCCTTGGCTCGCCAAGAGGAAGCCCGGCGTGTCCGAGGAGGAGAGCCTGACGCTTGTGAACAAGAAGGGACAATTTGAGCTGCCGGCGGAGGCGTTCGCAGTGCTGTCGCTGATGTGGCCACGGCCTGGTGAGCTTGCTCCTTCCCCCGGCGCATAGACGGCTAGCAAAACATGCTGACTTTGGCTATAGATCTGCTTGTGCTCGGTGTTGGGCCGACCATCCGCCCTTTGAGCCCCGAGACGAGGAAACACATCAGTGCACTCGGCATGAGGATTGAGGTCCTTGACACGAGGAATGCATCCTCCGAGTTCAACATGCTAGCGACGGAGAGGGGAGTTGAAGACATTGCGGCGGCACTGATACCGCTTGGTTGGGTGGAGGGCAAGGGTGCTGTCGAGTAGAAGGGATGGCGGCCTTTGGGCCTGTACCTCGGAACTGAGCGGTTCGTGGCACGGCACTGCGAGATTCAGTCGGCTTGCGACGACATTCTTGCGATAACGAAGGACGCAAGCTGCCATATTGGGCAACCAGCACCATGCTGCCGGCGCAAAACCCATGCATGGCGAGTTGTTGTATCACCAGTGTATTATCTACTGCATAAAGAACCACACATGACAGGTCGTCAATGTTGAGTCCTCGCTAAACCCTCTGCTGCTTTCGACCTCCACTTCCGTGCAGTGCACAAAACACCGTAGTCTTGAGCCTAAAGGTTCTGATGACAATCACCAAGCTGACCGCATGGCTGACCAAGTGGTCATACAAACTTCAAAGCTAGGGGCACCGCCCACTCTCTCATCGATAGCCAATATCAAATACTCTCGTGCCTGCCGGAGATATCCAAGAAGACAAGACAACTCCGGATCACCCTAGGACACCTAATGAGGGAAGACAGCATATGAAATTTGGGGCTGTTCCACTGCGACCCGGCCCCCGCTCCCGAGACCCTCATGCAGTGTCACGCAATGTGTTACCTTGTTGGCGAGCAGACTGCAGACGAAGGGAAGCAACTCGAATGAAAGACACGGCGTTTGAGAGACAATCAATCGTCAGATGGAAGACGGCAAAACTGAGCAAGACGTTGCTAGCCTTGCTTTTAGTGGCCAAACACCAGACTTGCCCTGTGATCCACTGGTACAACTCTCATCGTTGTAGGCTAATGTCGGCCTGTATGACTTTGAGTTGGCCTCCTCTGTATATCCAATGAATAGGTCAGGGTGCCGGCCTCTCTATTCAGGCGTTTCTACCTTTTCGGCTTGCCCATCTTTGGACGCGGTAAGGGAGCTTTGCACACGCCTCACGATGCTATTCCTAATCGGTCACCGCAACATATCTGCGTCCTGCTGTCATATTGCGCTGCGGTGGTGTATCCCTTCATTGTACGTCACCGGACCGATGCTGCGAACCTGTGGCTTAGAAGCCCTTATTGGGCTTATTCACGTTCTAGTGTCTTCATTCTCTCAAACTAGCTCCTCCTCATCCTCCTCATCTCAGCTTTCAGTTTCGTCAATAGTCATCTGCTTACTGTCTGCGCGGTTATTGTCACTAGCAATCTAAATTATCTAACTTCTTAGTTCAGCCCCAATTGCCTATAAAACTAACACAGCCCATCCTCGATCAAGCTAAGGTGGGTTGTTTCATTGGCAAAATACTCCAAGCGAGCAGTGAAAGTGCTACTGCAACCTTAAATGTTCGCCAAGCCAACTATAAATGTGAAATCACTAACACTGGTGGTTAAAAATTCAAAAAGCTAGGTAAACATGTCTATACTGTACACTACTAAAATCCATACCTTGTATGAATAAAGCCTTCCATTGACATTAAAAAGACTGCGAAGCCAGTAGACAAGCTAATCAAGTCATTGCACACACTAACATAACAACCATAGTAACAGGCAGCCAACACACTGGCGCCACAAACAACTTACTGGCTCCAATTATTAGTCTCGTCACTCGTAACAGTCGGCTTCCAAGGCTCCTTGCTGACAACATGACGAGGAATACTTATAAAGCACCTGCAAAGCCAAGAATCTAAGCGTTCACGGGGCTCATTTACGCGGAAGACTGCAAAGTGCTTTAACAGAAGATGTGAAGAGCCGTCCTCGTCACAAAAAGATAAAGCTCAAATATACTATAGCCCCCTACTCAACAGTCAAGATGTAGATGTCGCCTGCGGAGACAATCTCACTCTGCCTGACGACGCACTCAGACAATCAGATCAGTAGTATAGTAGGACTATGCACAACGTGAGATATTCCCTTGCTTTGCCTTGCCCTTACTCAGCAGGGTACTGCTCTACGCAGCATTTCCACTCTGATTGAACTCCCTGCCGAAATGTATTCCGCTCGAACAAAAACAAAACATACAACACCAGGTATTCGCTGGTGGTCACCCACCCAACTACTGATCCGGCCCTTATTGGCTTATTTAGGGGAGAGCGGACGGGATCCCAAGTTTTCCAATAGGTATGGTCGTATGTGCTAGGTGTGAAGCATCAGAGTGTTCATATTGGCCATGCTTTTTGTTGCGCAAGGCCGAATTGGGGCTCCAGGAGGCTTGAAGAAAGAGTACGGGGCAGGCGTGGCGGGCATCAAGTGCCTCATATGAGCCTCGGCTCCTACTAC